CTGATGTCAAAGTAATAATAAAGTAACTAATTCTAACACTCAGAATTAATAAACTTACCTTGTTTATGGACATTCATAGCTAAAAATGTACAACCAACACCACTTTAATAACAAATTGTCAACAAATAATGTAAAGTGACGTCTGCGAAGCGCCAACTTGATTAGGTTGTAACTTTTTTATAGCGGAGTTATTTGATACGGTCACGGTTTAGGGTTAATTTTTTTAATGAAAACATAGTTTTAGAGTCATCAATATTTTATTATTATGAATTTGAATTATTGGTTATTTAAATATAATGGTTTTACAAAAAAATTATGTTATTGATTTTGACGAATTTTGTCCATTGTGGAACCACAGTGCGTCGCCTGGAAATGATTCGGCTTGATATCACTCGGTGGTAAGTTTGTTGAAACTGAGATCGTAGCTCTCGAATTGAAACTGGCCGATTTCTTCTGGCAAATTGAGCCAAGTAGCAATCCTGTCGTTCAGTCGTTACCCTTGTACGGCCCAACCTAGGACAAGATCTTACATTCCGGTGTATAATTCGGCTTACAGTACTTCGCACTAAATTTAAACGATCAGCAATTTGATGCCTGCTGAGACCTTCTTCATGCAAAGCGATAATTCGGGCCCTATCGAAGGCAAAAATTTGGTGCCCTGGCATTTTTGTCACCTTTCACACTTACTACAAGATTGAACTCGAACTGAGAAACAAAATTTGACCGCAAATAGCAAAACTATATATATTCCATCGATAAGTTTTTCTTTCATTGCTTTTATGACCTATTTTTTGTAGACATATATTAAGGCATTTGTACACATAGCCACAACAATATGCTATGCAAAGAAATATTTTTTCTGGGGGTGCAAGACTTTTACCGATGAGTGTATTACGTTTTTATAGGCATTCCATTTTTAATTGAAAAAGTTTTTTTTCAAATTTAGTTAAGGTGATTAAAAAGTTTCTTTGCAAAAGCGTGGCAGTTTTTCTTTGTTTGCGAAAAAATTTGAAAAAATTGACAAAATGTATCTAGAAAGTCTGCTTCTCATTTGTTCGTAAAGTCTCTCACGAACAAAGATAACACTTTTATAAAAAAAAAATTAAAAAGATTCTTAAGATATTATTTTTAAAGCCAAATAATTAAAGTAATTATCTTCTGCATTAAACTTTTGCTGGCATATGACCTGCTGTAATTTCTGTGAGAAAGCAAACAAAGAACCATAATTGTTTTTCCTTGTACGTGCCGTGAATAAAATTCCTCGATTTTCTTCAAGATAAAGCCGGTACACGGAAGCTAAAATGAAGTATAAAGAAAATTTGAGGCCTGCTTTTTACTTGCTTTACCATCGCCTAAAGGAAATTATATATATTTATATTTACATAATACACTTTTAAGAATGTAATTAACTGGACTATAAAAACAAGAAGAATATTTAACAAAGTTCTACTTTGTTACTATATAAAAAAGCACATGTTTCTATCTTTAAAATACTAATATATAAAATCTTTAAGTGACTGACTCACTGATTAATCACGATCCTGCTCAAACCACTCAACGTAAGAAGCTCAATTTTGGTATACAGGTTGACTCTAGGGTGTAGAGGTTCGATACGAAGGGATTTTTCGAAATTCCAGTTCCAAGGGGGTGAAACCACCCCTCAAATATTACGTTAATTATTATTAAGTTTCCTAAAAACGCTTAAACACGTAAATTTTATTTTGATTTTACCATATTTTCAGATTTTTTAAAAATGTATACAGTGTGTTTCGAAAAATCTGGTCATTGATTAATCACGATCCTGCTTAAAGCGTTTGACGTAAAAAACTGATTTTTGGAAAACGGATTGATTTTAGGGTGTAGAGGTTCGATAAGAAGGGATTTTTCGAAACTCGAATTCTAAGGGGGTGAAACCACCCCTTAAATATTAGAATATTTTTTATTTAAAAATCGGTGAGTTTTTCGGAAAAACTCTTAAACACGTATATTTGATTTTGTTGTTTTACATATTTTAAGATTTTTTTAAAAATTTATACAGGGTGTTTTTGGAAAACAGATTGACTTTAGGGTGTAGAGGTTCGATAAGAAGGGAGTTTTCGAAACTCGAATTCTAAGGGGGTGAAACTATCCCTCAAATATTAAAATACTTTTTATTTAAAAACCTTTTTTTTTCATGACCATTGAGTATGACCATTGAGTAATCACGATTCTGCTTAAACTGCTTGACGTTTAAAGCTGATTTTTGGTAAACGGATTGACTGTGGGGTGTAGAGGTTCGATAAAGAGGGGTTTCTCGAATCTCAAATTCCAAGAGGGTGAAAACGCCCCTCAAATATTACAATATTTGTTATTTAAAAAACGGTTAGTCTTTCGGGAAAACGCTTGGACACGCATAATTTATTTTGTTTTTTATATATTTTGAAATTTTTTAAAAAATCATACAGGGTGTTCATTGTGGTTGTAATTGATTAACCACGATTCTGCTTAAACTGCTTGTCGTATAAAGCTTATTTTTTGCAAACAGATTTTTCGAAAGTCAAATTCCAACGAGATGAAACTACCCCTCAAATATTACCAAGTTATGATAATAATATCGCCATATTGTTTTTTCTCATGCTGACATAAATGTGAGAAAATTTTATCCAGTTTGCATGTTAATGGAAATTCTTGCTTTGCTTTATCATCACCATTACAAATGATTAATTCGACGCGAACGAAGTCGCGGGTACACGCTAGTTATATTTATATATCTCCTATGATAGAAATAGGGAAATTTATTTGAAATAAAATAAAATTATTTAAAGTCTCTAAGTTATATATATTAAGACTATTATTGAAGTGAAACTTCTTTACACGCGATGGGAGTAACAATTCATAGCCGCGACACATGAGCTAGCGTTACGCGAAGCATCACGCCAAGGTCATTAAGAATTACAAAATAGGTATCGATATCGGAGCGTCGTAACTCGTGACCTATGTGAGCTAGAAGGCTTAAACTCGGAATGTAGATCACAGCAACGTGCGATGCCCACAGTAACGTTTAATTTCCTTGAAATGAACGAAATTTCAGTAATTGACAATGTTAGAAACAATAAATGCTTATTCAATATAACGTCCCGGCATTACCGCAACCAACCTTTAAAAAGTAGATTAATTAAGGTATGGTATTCGTCCCATTTTCGTTTATTTCGTGTATCCACAATTTTCTTTTCTTCCCTATTAACGCAGAACAAACATCCGCAGCACATTCTTCAATTTCTTCTTGAAATTCGTCTGAGGAACTAGACGTTATGGCGATATGAAGGCAAATAATACCAGTTATATACCAGTTTGGTTTAAATCATTGATCGCATCAGAACAATGTATTCACGACACATCACATCATAATGCAACACAACATGACACAACATATCAGAACAATGAGTCACTGGCTTAAATTATGGTTATATACTAGGAAATCATATTTAATATAAGTTATTTCTTCTAAATTCTTGCATAATTCTTATAATTATGATTGACCTTTCTTCACCACTCCCATATAAATATTCTAGAATATATACAGGGCGAGTCTTAAATAGGTGCAAATATTTTAGATGTAGTGTATTTTCACCCCAGAAACACGATTATGGTTTTTTTCTTCGCGAAAGAAAAATATTGAAAATTTTGAATTTTTTGAAAAAACAATTTTGGAGTTTTTTTTTTCAAAAAATTCAAAGTTTTCAATATTTTTAATTTCAATATTTCTTTAATTATTTGGCTTTAAAAATAATATCTTAAAAATTCTTTTAATTTTTTTTTATAAAAGTGTTATCTTTGTTCGTGGGAGACTTTACGAACAAATGGGGAGCAGACTTTTTAGATACATTTTATTTGAAACTAAAGTTAACAAAAAAAGTCATACTATACTAGAAATTCATTTACCCAGTAGTAGTTATAAATAGCATTTTTGGTAAACTCTGTCTCAAATAGTTTCTGAAAAAAAAATAATTTTTTTAAAAGGTCCGATTAAATTTATATCTCTGAAACTAAAGTTTCAAAAAAAGTCATACTATACTAGAAATTCATTTACCCAGTAGTAGTTATAAAAAAAAATTTTGGAATTTTTTTTAGTTTTTAGTAAAAAAATGATTTCTTGATAATATGGCTATATTATCAAGAAATATTACATATAGGTAATTGATTAAATTTACAAGATATGAAACCCAGCAAAGATCAGTGGTTCTAAAAAGTTAAGCAAGAAATATTTTTTTTGGAAATTTTCAACTTTGTTATTTCCGACTTATTTGAAAAACAGTAAAGAGAAAATATGTTTATTTTATCGAGATCTACCAGCACTGAAAATATTAGCAGTTATTTAAGACTCGCCCTGTACATAGAAAGTGAATTTACTAATAATATGACTCTAAGCTTATTATTTCAGAATATTTTTTCCGTCGGTCTCTGGCAGTATTTTAGAAACATTTAACTATTTTTTTTATCTTCTACTAGTACTGAAAACATAACCCATGTATATGTAAATTAATATAGTATTAATTTTAAAAAAATCAAGATGGCGTCGTATCTGTCAAAATTGACGTTTTAAAAAAACTCAGGTGGTTAGGTAGTCAGGTGTAGTCTAGGTGACTCTCTCAGGTCAAATTTACATTAAAAAAAAAATTCTATTAACTTTAAATAGGAAACAGAAAATTGTAAATCGATTGAGACACTGAAAATGATATCCCTGTAAATAAAAATAACCTACTTTAGAAACTTATACTCCAGCACACCCCCATCGTATCACCATATCATCACATAATAATTTTAAACAAGATATTGAGGGACATTGGAAATTTCCAACAAGAAAAGAAATCTAATAATGGTGTTTTTCGCTCTTATGCATCGCATCATACCGGTCCCTCAGCTGTCCGATCTCGAACTGAGTTCGTGGATGCTGCAAGTAGCTGCGTGTATCCCACAATGGTTTTAGTGATACCATCCCGCAAAGCAATCTGTTAGTATGGATGACAGAATTATTGGGTATACCCTTGATAACGACGCTGATATACGTGCCCGTTCGAGCGACGTACGGCGAAGGAACTGAACTTACAATGTAAGTGGATATGATTGAAATCTATTATCGAGACACGTTCCAGACGTTGTCATGTTGAATTAACGAAAAATCATCATGTTTTAGTATCTTTTAATAAAACACGCTTTAGATGTTTCCAAGTCCATTAAGAATCAATTTTATCTCTTTATGATATAGGGCGGAGTCTCCTACGATGTTCCTCTATAAGTATCCTGGAAACCACTGGAGATATGCATTGTTCACCATTACCATTACCTAAAGTAATTGTAGCTAAACCATTAGATTTTTACAAATTGTAAGTTTTGGTCGTTCAAGCACTATTAGATACAATTTGGTGATTTTATGAAGATACAGAGTCCCAACAAACAAAAATACTCTGCCTGTATTTTCATAAACAGAACAACTCGTACATTATTTCACTTTCAGCTCTCACGACCAAAATAAAGATAAATCTTACTAAGATTTCACCGGCCTAATCCACCGTTTCAAAATACTTTTGTAGTTTCTTCAAAACACACAGCAATAACTCTCAATGCTCATTTCCATTCAGTGAATTACATTTTTAGTTTCACGATTAAAATAAAGTTGTAACTCTGATTGCCTATTACACTTAACTTTCACCGTTTCTTTGAAATATGACCAAATTGCATTCTCAGTACCTTTTAAGGTTCTATTCAAGAGTGCCCAAAGTTTCTAATACTAAATATTTTTTTTTTTTTTTTTTTTATTTATCAGTTATTGTATTGGTAATACAAAATAATAGATTGACCATGACAGAGTCTAAAATTCTTATTTCCACACTCTTGCTTAAACGGCAATAACTTGTTTAATTTAAATGCAACGCCCCGTATAGTTTAGAGAATCAGATGCACAATTTAATATTGCCTATCAAATTGTAACATACCATTTCAGCCATCCCTAAACTCCCTTTGCAGAAAACGCACTCTCCATACCCCCAGACCCTCATTTCAACATACCCACGGGAATAATAACATTTTACATTGTTTTTAAAAACAAATGTACAAAATGTGCTAGTAGGGTAGGTAATATTGTCGTTTTTAAAGCAAAACGATAACATTACTAGCCCATTTTTATACAAAAAAAAAAAAAAAAAAAAAAAAAAGAGTATACCATTAATTAAATATACCACCATTGTTTCCGCCCAAATACTAGTTAATTACATACTCTAATTGTGTTCTTAATAAATTATTCTAAACAAATGTGGATTGAATCTGAAATCAATATAATAATAAGTTATGAAAAAGAATGTCTCTGTTATAAGCATTTGTCAAAAATGAAATATGATTTTACATCAAAATATACAAATAATTAAAAAAAAAAAAAAAAAAAAAACAGTTTTTTAGTATTTGGAGCAATTATTATTAATCAACGTAAACAGCCAATTAATGTAGTTTAAATAATGGAATCATATTAATGGGTCCTCTTGAACAAAATATTTAAACAGTTTTTTTTATTTTAATGAAACAAGCGAACTATATCGACAATATTAGTATCTGTACCTCATTAAAAATTTGTTACATCTTTAAAATAGTCTAAAATGTCAAAATTCCATATTCCAATATATATATTGATGAATGAGGTCTAAATTATAAGAAAATGCATTTTCTACGAAAATTTGTAAAGATACATGGAAAAATGGCATATTACAATTTGATACACAATTACATTGTGCATCTGATTTCATAAAATATATAGGGTGTTCCATTTAAGTTAAAAAAGTTATTGCTGCTTAAAGCTAGTAATTATATAAAATAAATTTTTAGGACTCTCTGTATAAGGTAGTATAATTTTTATTATTGCAACACAAAACTCAGTAAATAGAAAACTTCAGTACAGTATTGGTAGTTTTTAAAACTTAAATTCACCTAGAGAAATGAAGTTACTAAAATTATTACTGTATTTGACAAAAACCTAAATATTTCAAAACGATAAGATTAAACTGTGAAACTCATTAAAATTTCTATCTCTTTTATTTTAATTGTAGAAACTGAAAATGTAATAATATACGGGTGTTCTATTTAAAAATACAACTTTGATATTTTTATTTATTTGGGACACTTCTTAGATTTTGTAATATTTTCAAATTGTAGCTCTAATAGTCCAACGAACCCAAAACTTTAAATTTGTAGAAATCTAGTTGTTTGGCTACAATACTCCTTGTTGTATGTGGTGAACAAACCCTGTAGAGCTCAGCTGGGAAAGAATTGCAGTTTGTGGGGTCATAAATATGCGCCTTCAGATTTTTGAAAAGTTTCAGGATTACTAGATATTTGAAAACAAATTTGTCCCTAATTCCATTATAATTTCATTTTAAAAATAAAAAAAAAAAAGTTTTCAGATAAAAGTTGTAGATAATCACTTCCTTAATGAGATTTGCCCTCTCCGATTTTTTCTAAAGCCTGTCATTTTGGACATAAGGACACAAACATATTTTTTTTAAATGGAAACCATAGTTGGTCATGACTCTGCTAAAAGCGCCATTTTTTTAAGCTTTTCAGTGATATAGGTAGGTATAATATGTTTTTTCGAAAAATTAATGAGTTATAACTAATTCTTAACTTTCTTGGCTAATTTCACTTAGTTGGTATGGTATTCTTATTCTGTTACATTTATAACTTATAAAAAGATTGAATTTTATTAAAAGGTTCTTTACAATTTCCATTACACAAACCAAACTTAAAAAAAAAAATAATATCACCAGATACACTTCTAAGTTATTTTAGCAAATGTTAAAATAACGCCATTGTTTTGAGTACATAAAATGCATCTTTAAACTGAATTACAAGCTTTTGCCACAGAACCGCCAGTCGACTTTAATAAACTACTCCCAAAAATTGCTTGTTCTGAGCGCCTCTTATTTCATAAAAGTTCTTTGTAAACCTTGTTGTTAACTATACTGCATAAAAAATCTAAAGTGGATAGGTCAGGTGAACGAGGAGGCCCATGCAATTGGTCCACCTCTTCATATTCCTGAGTTTGCATAATTATGATATAAATAATTTTATTACTTTCATTTTCTATTATGAGGTGGGTTGCATGAAAGTTGTGTTGGAACCACTCTATTGATGTGTATGAGTATCTAAATTTAACTTTCTTAATTAAAACGTAAGTAACGACCACAGGTCAACGTTTCCTCGAAAATGTATGGCTAAGAAAAGTTGAACCAATAATCATATTACTTTTCATTTGAAAATTCATATTTACCACAATTTTGTTTCTATTTTAATTTTACAAAAGTTTGAAGAGTAACGACGATTGAACTTGTTCCCATGTATTAACTAAGTGAAGTTATTTTTATATTAAGAATGATAAAATTGGCTATAACTCACAATTTTTCGAAAGAAACATATTATATGGCTTTAAAAATGGCGATTTTAATGAAGTTAAGGGCTGTCTTCTATGGTTTTCTATTTGAAAAAACATAAGGTGTTATGTTATCTGTGTCCAAAATTTCATTCGAGTCGCTAAAAGCACTTTTTTAAAAAGCAAGACGAAAATTATCACAACCGCCTGTAGCGACACATAGCAGTCCGGACCTATATTAATATGAAAATAAATCTTACTTTCTAATGAGAGAAATCTCTCCACGAGAGATGCACGTTTTTAAAACATACCTTTGCTATTTCTAATATCTTTCTTATATTTTGAATATGATTTCTATTCTATGATGTCTAGTATGTCTCTGATTTGCAGTAAACATCAATTAGCATCAAAGCAGTAGACTTTGCGGAAGATGACAAAACTCTAATTTATTTTAACAAGTAATTGTCTGTATAACTTTTTGGTGAGTTTTTCCGTTATTTTAATAATTATTTTGCTATTCGGGGAGAGAGACGAATCCAACAAACCAGAAATTATTAAAATCTTATTTAAAAAAAATAATTTTATTCTTAAGTTAAGGTGAAGAGTTTGACTAACCCCAACTTTGTTTTATTTAGAAATGTAAGTAAATTAGAGTTAAATAATTTAAGTTTTGAATTCCACATAATTTAATATCTTTTTCTTAAACGGTTATTACACCCTAGTAGAGAGTGACAGATTTTATTCAATTTATTTTAGTAATTTCCTATTCAAAATATTCCATGAATATCTTCTCTCTTGGTAGTTTCTTTAACTTAGGGAAGCTCTCAATGTCAGTGCCAGATAAATATTATTAGGGACTCCGTAATCATGGTAAATATAATTAAAAGTACTACGAAGTCTAAAGAAGTAAAGAAGAAAAAGAAACAAGCTGTTATTGATTAACAACTTTTTTCATTCCCCCTGCCGTCAGATGGAAATTTTTCTTCCCTGAATCATTTAAAATACCAATGGACAAAAATAATTAGCTTTTTTAACACTGACCTTATTTTTTCATAATTTGATATTCTAAAATTAATTTTCATTACCTTTAAGAAGTTGGAGTATAATGTGAGTGCTGTAACAAAGGTTACACTACTTCTTTGTTTTACGCTATTAAGTTTCAAGTACAAAGGAGAACTGAAAATATGTTTATAAAGGGTGTCCTCAATATCATGAACTGAGTTTAATCAATGCTTATAGAGCTAATGATTTTTTTTCTTTTTTTTTTTTTTTTTTTTTTATAATTTATATTATTACCACACATTGGAATTTTGTACACGTTCCATGAATAGCAAGTCGGGCATCTGTATCCCCTAGAATAAAACTTTGGAATTTTGTTGTTCAATGCAAACCTAAAGTATGTATAGGGATGTATTTTATAAGGTTGGTTTCTAGGGTGGCTCAAAAGGTCTGCCTGAGGATGATTTCTCTTAAATGGAACACCTTGTATATTATGCCATTGCATTTTGGCTTCCTTCAGATCACTTTTACATAATCATGATATGAGTAAATATATTTCAGATAGTTTCAGATATTAATAAATAAATAAAAAAATATACATGTTTTAGCCTTTCAAAAAATTATTAAAATATAAGAACTGTCCTGAACTCAAAACAATATTAGGTGCATTTACCTTATATCAAAAATAAAAACACTAA